TTTTATGTCCGAAAGCTGCAAAAAATGTGCGCTCACTCTCGATGATGTCACCCAGGCCTTGGGCAAAGAGCAGGTCTTTCAGGCGAGACACCTCCTCCTTTAGCTCACGCACCAGCCGGTTGTTAGGATCCTCGTTGATGACTGCGTTGCAGCGGATTTGCTTGGCGCGGTCGGCATACCTGCCATCATGAACACACATTACCACAAGTAATTTCTGGGAAGACAGAGCATTTATGTCACTAGTTGAAATATATTCATCTGCTCCCCTTTCATATGGAGTTCCCCAAGGTTCAATTTTAGGTCCGGTTTTCTTTCCGGTTTGTACTTGTAATGCTGTTATTTAAAAAGGCTCAGTGTCAAAGTTGACCAGGATTTTAACGTTGCTCTTTTGAAATTGCTTTACAATACATTTGGATTGGATTTTATGTGGCAAACGCAGAGAGGTCGGCGTGCTGTTTTTACCTGAGTGTGCTGAGTGTTTCATCATAGTTAATGTCCGCCGGGCTCAGCGCAGCCACCATGGCGGTGCGTGAATTCCCGCCTGATGCAAAGTGGAAACACGCAGCATTAGCAGAGTTTAAATGAGAAAAGGCACTTCATAGAGGTTAGCTGATACCTACCAAGATTCTCTCGGAGTAGCCAAGTCAGAACTGAATCGCGATAAGGAATGAAACTTTCCACTTTCTTCTTCTTTTTGTTCTGCGTGTTAGTGAAGGCTGGGTTATTACCTCCGCCAGGAAGCTTATGTTTAGTTAGTTATCTGAAAATAATTTCTTTGGCATACCTTGTTTGGTCCAGAGTCCTGAAATGAACCACAGTGTGAACATCATTTTAATTAACACACATGAATAAAGGTGAACGGTGTTAGCTCTTCTATTAGCTCTATTTCTGGAAATAGTTCTAGCCGTTGTTCTTGTTCTGTTCCTCGAGTGGGTCTGCTTCTACTTCTTCTTTGAGTCCAGGTACTTAACCTTGTTCTAGTCCAATTTTTATTGTTCAGGGGGGTTTATTCAGGCTTTAGTTCTGGTTATGTTTCCAATTCTGCCTCTTATTCTTGTACTGGTTCAGGTCCTGGGACTTGTCCTAGTTTTATGGTTCAGGCTCTAGTTCTGGTTATAGTTGTAGCTATGATTGTGGTTGCAGTTCTTTTTCTATATTGTGTTCTAATTCTTGTTGTGTTTCTGTTTCCTGTACTGTTTCATCAGGGCTGGGACTTGATCTAGTTCTTGTTCTGGTTCGATCTGTACAATGAGAAGAATTTCGGAATAACTCTCACCACTTCTGCCAAAGCGGAGATGACTTTTCCCAGCGTGGTTAGGGATTTGTTGATGTTGGCTCCTTCCTGTGGCCCAGCAAAAATAAGGTCACATGATGATTTTAATGTACTCGCCTATAAGATGTGAAATTTTTGAAAAAACAAAACAAAAAAAAA